CATTCTTTTTTCTGCGATAAAATATTTCCAAAATTGATGCCCATGAGAACAGTGACGATGTAAACTAATTCTAGGTAACCCAGAATACTTCTAAGCTGTCGCCATGTTCGTTTTGCTCCGTAATTCACGGCAACATTCGAGGTGAAATGAACTGAAGCGCAAACGATACGAAATGAAACACAGATAATTTCTTCACCGGACTGACGCTTGTAAATTCAACCGCCACCATAATTCCCGCGCACTAGGCGAACCTTACAATTACAGGAGGCCGAATTTCATAAGTTTATCGCGAGGAGCGCTAGGCATGTATTCGTAAACAACCATATTAAAACGTGGACATTATGAGGGGAAAGGTAAGCCTAATTCTTAAACTCACTATTTATACTTCATCAGTAACGGAAAGGGGATTTTACATGTAGGCCTACTGGAAAAGAGAAACCTAACATTTTACCAGCCATGGGAAGTTGAAAAGGGGGAGGTTGCAAAGTGAGTTTGAAACAATACCATTCGCCAAAGAATATCCAAAGAGTAATTGATTAAGATGCATATAATTAGGCACTTCACAAAATAATAAGGATATTTTCCAAGAAATTATGGAAATTAGTCTCAGGCTATGATGGACTATATGGAGAAAGATGTAATACGATACCCATGCCAATTAAAGCAGTTATATCTTGGAAGAGAATTATAATAAATTATTTCTTAAGACTATGACGACGACTGAAATAGGTATATGAGGAGCCATGATTAGATCAGGGATATCTAAAATCTAAGGTCAAGGGTCAGAGATCTGAGTATCCTGAATGCGATCTAAGATAAGAATCCCACAAGATCAATGATCATGAACTTGTAGACTACGAACCTACAAGCCCCCAAAAAAGTGACGTATGTAGTCATGACGTTAAAGAACACAATCACAATGTAATTACATCAGGTATGCATGTGTTTATTGCTTGTTAATGTAGGCATGTACATGAACATGTTTTTTCATGTGAAATAAATAGCCATATCTTATTGAATGACGTACATGACGTAGCAGTGACGTCGACTGATGTCATGATGAAGATCAAGGTCAAGATCACGATCCTCTGATCAGCGCACACAACAAGACCGTTACATGCTGCACACTGATGTATTTCGCGACTGAGGTCAACATCATGACAGACTTAGGGTGAAATTGATGAAATTATGACACCAATTAACGAAAACAAAACAACTTATAGGCCAACTACCTGGAAGAATTTTGTCATCATGTAGGCCTAAAAGCAATATCAACAATTATTGCTGCCTAATTATTCCACATTTACTTTACAAATGAGTTATCAAATTGTATGACCTGTTTTCAGAATATTGTTGTATGCCACCGAATCAATGTTTTCTGTTCTTTTTGTTGCAGTGTTGATTCAGGCAGTGCAAGCTCCATGGTGCTAGTGATGACTTCAGATGATACATTTGAAGAGCGCCATCTTGTGGTCAAACATTGCCGAAGACGCAGTGGCTTAGAATTTAAGAAATGGGAAAAATGACAGTTCAAACTGACGGTTTGGTGATAAATGGTCGCGTTGCTGTTGGGATAAGGGTTTTGGTTTTTGGTATCCAAAAACGGAAATGGAATATGGACTTTTTTGTAATGGCTTTTGTTGTCGCTTTAACACAGGGAGATAAGTTTGTTTCAGTTGAAATATTCAAGAAATGGCAGATTAAGGGCAAGTCGTGAAATTTCGCCTATTTGGTCATTACTAGTAAAACAAGGCTAGGAAGTAAGACAAACAATTGTTGTTGCCAAAAATTACCAATGAAACTGAATATTTTCCCGGCCACTCTATTGCTTTAAGTTTAAGTCAATGGTGCACCCAAGATTTGGCTGGGGGGGGGGGGGGAGGGCTCACAGTTGTTTTTGCAATTTTGTTATAGAAGTTTGGATATTTTACAAATTTTTGCCCTAAATTTATGGGTGCAGAAAAATATTTTCATTGGTAGGAAAACTTTGACTTTTATGGCTGTCAATGTCTTTAACATTTAAAATGTAGGCCTATAGTCTTATTTCAAAGCCTAAAATTGGCATTGTCGAGACAATAATCACGTAGCAGTGACGTTGACTGATGTCATGAAAAAGATCAAGGTCAAGATCACGATCCTCTGTCAGCGTAAGACACAGTGAGACCGTTCCAGGCTGCACATGATGTATTTCGCGACTGAGGTCAACATCATGACAGACTTAGGGTGAAATTGATTAAATTATTACCAACGAAAAAAAAAACGTAATTCAGATAGGCCTACAGATTTGAAGAATTTTGTCGTCATATTTATTAATATCAACAATTATTACTGACTAATTATTCCACGTTTAATTTGCAAATGAGTTGTCTTCTTTAAAATTGTATGATATGTTTTCACAATGTATGGCAGAGATTGAAAGTTTTCTTTTCTTTTCTGTTGATTCAGGCAGTCGACTTCAGATGATTTGAAGAGCGCCATCTTGTGGTCGCATACTGCTGAAAATACAAACATGGCATAGAATGTAAAGAAAGTTATGGCAACAACCGATTGAAAATGACACTGACGGTTTGGAAATGGGTTGTTTTTTTGCTGTCGATGTCCAAGACAGAAATTGAATATGGGCTTCTTTGTTTTCTTCTTTTTGGGATTTTATTGTCGCTTTTCGGGAAGTGAGTTTGTTTTGCTGTGAATATTTTTTACTGACAATGTAATTTGCTGGCCATTAAAAAGAAATAAAGAAAGATGAAAGTCAAGACAAATGCATAGTTTTCTTTGAGAAACCCCAGTGATGGCGGCTTGTATGTTAAATTAATGTTTCGGCACTCGAGAAAAACACACATTAATTAACACAAACGAAAACGACATTAAGTAAAACATTCTTAATGGTTTGATCATTCTGCAAAGGAAACACTGAAATGTGTTTTCACATATCTTTCTTGTTTTGCTACTCTTGTTGATAGATCAAAGAAATATTTAAAGAGGTTGTGGAATGTTCAAAGACATTTCCGTCATTTTGGGGTAGTATGTAGCCTAAGGTGTGATGAAATAAAAACGACTGCTGTTTCTGTCATGAAATGAGTACATATGGTACTTTTGACCAGCAACAGACGCAATGTCACTTTTATGATGTGTTATTTTTTTTTAGTTATCGTGACCACATGATCGTCGGATTTGACCTGCGCAATGTTTTTCTCGTTATGTTCTTATTATTTTTCAGATTTTGACAACCATATTATGGGCCTAATAATTCGAGCAATTTAACAGTACATCTCAAATGCTTATAAACATCTTATACTATTCGTCGCTCAACCTCTCTTCTCAATTCGCCGGTTTTAATCACTGTTTAATATTTTAAATTTCGGTGCATGGTGATGTTTACTCGTTCTCTTGGTCAATGAAGGGTTTTGACCCCCAACAAAAATATATATAGGATTGTTCTCACTTAAATTTTGTTGAAGTCAAAACTTGGGCGGGATTCGAACCCGTGTCCGGGCGCTCCAAAGACGTAGTCTTTGGAGCGCCTGGACACGGGTTCGAATCCCGCAGGTGGCTCAGACCGCTAGGCCATCTGATTAAGAGGTTTACCTTCTGTAATAAGTAGATTATCTGGATTTGCAAGCCAAGGTGGGGGAGGGGCAGCGCGGGAGTGTGGGAGGGTGCGTAGACGATTGACAATGAGTGTTGGAGTAATGGTGTTAGGCTTCCGGACGCCTTGTACAAGTTGTAGTACAGGAAAATGGACGTGCCACAAAATATTCAAAATAGCATTTATTTGAAATTGAACAATTACATGACGCAAAAGAGAAATATTAATTAATACTCCTTTTCACCTTCAAAGGAAATTCTGTTTTGTTTGGAGAAAAGTCACTTTTTTGCCCAATTTAACATACTTTAACATCTTTCGCATAAAACGATTGTTGACAAAAGTGTGGGGACGCCGCGCGCTCGCGCGCGCTCTGTCTGTTCCTTGCTCTGTGCTCTTTTAGTGCATGAAAATATAGTATGAGATTTCCCCTGAATATTGAAAAGTAATAGCCTTCCTTATGACATCACATATTAACTCAAATTTCAGTTTATCGCAAGATAACTTTATTGAGTTATTGTACCCACAACGATTTTTGTTTTCGCTCCAATAAAGTTGACTTCGGATTTGTTCTTTTGGTCTAGACTGTGATTGCAGATGGGTGCGTTTTTCCCGGTGTTGACAAATTTGTATAATATTTACGGAGAGAACAACAATTTACTGCATAATTATTTTGTGTATTTTGTTCCATTTGTTAGGACTCTCCTGGCTGTAATTGAATTCAATGCATCCGTTAATTTATGAGTAAGTGTGTCTGTCCATAATGCCTGTGTCGTTTCTGTAAAATGGTAAAATCCTTAACGGTGGTTGTAAAGCGCGCCCTCTTTTGAAATAAAATATTAGTGGTCAAAATTTAAAATGTGCGGAAATGTCCTTTCGCACCACTCTACTGCTTGAGAATTGTTTTAAAATAAAGTGTTTGATGTTTCCTATTAATTGCAATTTAATGGACTTCCTCTTGACATCACGACCAATTATTGATGCAATGAGTTCATCACACTTGGCACTTTTGGAATTATCCTGCCTCAACCAGTGTGTTGTGTTTGAATTCGGATTGATTTTTCGCGCTGACACCACTCTACTGCTTTATGTGTATTATAATAGTGTTTGTTGTTACCTGTTGAAATGTAATGCCCTTGTGACACAAGCCTATTAAAGTATGAGGGTTCGCTCATACCCCCGCCTGCAAACAGTTTGCAGGGCGGGGGGGGGGGGGGGGGGGGGGGGGGTAGGCGAGCGAAATTTGAGGGTAGCTGTCTATAATACATTTAATATGATAAAATAAATAGTGTGTTCATGAGAAAGCGTCGAACAATACAAATAAAATAATATAATATGACCGAATTTTTCTTTGAAAAATGCAATCCGAATTAATTTTGATGTAAGCAACACAATCCTTAAGAAATATGTACCCGTTTCCTTTATTGAAAGTCGTTTGTTTCGATAAGTTTACCAGGGCATTACCCCATACATTTCACCTTCACAATTTTTGTCAACTAAAGGTTTCTGCTGAAAAAGGGTGCGCCTGACAAAATAGTTGTCTCGCACGGAGACAAATTTATGTGCCAAACGGTTTACTTTAATCTCCCCCCCGCCGTTAATTGAGAAGGGCGCCCTCAGAATGTAAGATTTCTACGTCCAACTAGAACCAGAGAGGGCGCCTGTCAACCTGGTCGATAGTAAACAAAAGTCATGAAAGTTTCAGCAGATGGAACTCCTGAAGTTCAGCAAGAAAGGGAACGTTTTGGGAAAGAACGTTGCAACCTGACGCCACATTGTCTTCATATATCATCTCAATAAAGGTCAGTCATTGTAAAAATATTTTTAAAAAGACATGAATCTGGGACTGAGAATCATTTCCAATTTGGTTAAAAAATACTTTGAGAATCTTCTTGAATTTCCATATACTTTGTACACAAACGCTGAATACTGCATTCTTTCTTTTGTTTAGTATTTTGTGGGAAGAGGGCATATCTTTGATGTATGAGGGAAATTATGGGGTAAAAGGGGACGACAACAACCAGAAAACGGCACAATTGCAGAATACCCCGCCACTCAATCTATCCACCTCGTAGCCGGCTACGGAGTCACGGACACGTTAACGGTTGATTGCCCTCAATAAACCTTCTCAGCGCTACTTGTATGTACTATGCCCAGTATGCGTCATGCTTCACTGCACTCCCACTCCGTATCCGCGTAGCAGCCAACAGGGTAGTTGGTTTGGACTTAGAGAATTTTTTCAGCAACTCCCATTCCTTTTGTGTTGCTTCGTTCTCAAATAATAGACCCCCACTCCATATCTGCGTAGCTGGCAATGAATTGTTTCTTTTCCGTGATTCCAACCGCGTAGCCAGAGATTTTAGGGGTGTATTTCTGAGTGGCGGGGTATTCTGCAATTACTCCCAGAAAACAGGTTCAAAAACCAAGATGGCAACTGAAATTGAAAGCTCGATGCAATGAAGGCTCAATGCTGATCATGCTGATTGGCGAATGGCGGATAACATTTTTTTGTTAATGTTGTTATTTATAAATATCAGCCAATCAGCATCGAGCTTTCATTCTGTCTGGCTTGCTCGTGTGTTGCACGTCGTCTCTGATTGCAAAACAAAGATAGGAAAGTCACATTTTCTTTGGAAGTGTGTTTCAAAATTACAACAAACAAACAAACATGACTTAATCTGAAGGAAAAGACTAGCCTGCTAAAGTCACTTTGGTACTGAACAGTGAATGCACAAGTCAGTTTTGAACGGAGTTCGTAAAAAATAGAGGTGTCCTGAAGATAACGATTACCCAAGTCTCAGTACACAATGTAAGCCCCATCGGAGTTACAACTGCGCGTGTGCACATCACATGACAACAATGGTCTGTGGATAAACAAAGCAGAAAGACTTCCATACCCCACCTGGACATCACTTGACACCCTGTGCACAAACCCTATGAGACTGGTCTGAAAAATTCCAAGTGTTTCTTAGTAAATGCTTCAATATTTCCCTGCTAAATTGGACTTTTTAGGGCATTTTATCGGAAATATTAGTGATGTCCATGTATGGAATTCTTTCCTATTGTAGTAAAAAAGAAGATGGAAAATTTTGTTTGCACAAAAGTTGCAGCATACACATGATGAATACAAACCATCTTAAACCATGGTGCTGTTAAACAATCAACATTTTGTATCTACTTCAAAACAAGAACTTTTCTTTGATTTCATTGGTACCCCGCTATGATTTTGCATGCGTATGGTGAACTGTCTATCTACAGACCCTAATCGTTGTCATGTGATATGCTCACATGCAGTTGTACGAACATGACGAAGGATGATTTACTATTAGGTCAGGGAGCCAGACGATGCTGTAACGATAGCAATTGCCACAACAGTAGCCCCTGCATTATTTTCAACATTTGGACATGATCTGGCGATAGTACTTGCATGGCAAAACAACCAACCATTTGCCAACAAAAACATCAGATTTCACCCTCAAAACGGCCACACGCCACCTGAGCTACAATTACAGATTTATGATTTGAAGATCGAGATACTAAGCTTTACTTACAATCTGGATGAAAAGTGAAATTTACCGTTCATCGGCGAGGGCTCCGTTGCGAATATCGCGTGGACGCCATTTTCAAAATTTTGCTCCTTTTTTTTCCAATTTCAGTAAACTATGGCGACAGGCGTCCAACATGACCTGATGAAGCAGGCACAGTGCTTTTGGTCAATGCTGGATGAGCTTGCAGAGACCGATGAAGATGTATACAGGAAGTTCATGGCCACAAACCTCCAAAGAGGACAGCAAGAATTGACACTGGCCAAGACCCGTATCATGGTAGGTTCAATTAGCCCCAAATATGTGCGTGTTTATGGTGTAAATTGAGAACACACGTGCAACATCATCGATGAATTGAGGACAGGAACCAAAATCGAGGACGACCTCGATTAGAAACGTGTACAAAAGCAATGAGAACTGTTCCACAAAAGTTAGGTGAATAAAAAAAGGAAAATCCTCGATTTACACCATAAACACCAAAAGGTTCAGTGTTCTTTGAGCAAAAGGAAAACAAATCACATAGGGATGTGTGTTTAATAATTGTTTTCATTTTGCTGAAACCAGAACGCACACCTTTTTTGTGATCCGTTGACAGAACTTTAAAACGGTGGTTGTGTTTAAAATTCTGTTGCTTAAAAAGAACATGAGTGAGTTGAATGATTCTTCTACTAAAAGAAAGCTTTTGAATTGGGCTTTCATATCCTAGATTTTGAAAGTCCTACATGCAGAACGTCACTGAAACAATAGTCCCGACATTTGGGTTTCTTTTGATTTTACTCACCTTCTATATAAAAAATCATTTTGACAATGATAACATTATGATACAAGTATAGCCCAGAAAACAAAAAAAAGGGGGGGGGGGGGAAATGAGGTGTCTATAATTTTGCCTAAAAATAAAGCAAAGGGTTGCCTAACCTGGGGGACTTCCACAAGTTCAAAGAAACATCCAAATTTGCCTACATGTACGTAAGAAAACGTTTCACGTTTGCATAATTATTATCAACAACCATAATCTCTTATATTTTTGGGGGATTACTTTGAAATTGTTCTAGTCTCCCACGTTAAGACCAGGCTTCTCCTAATTTTTAGCCCAGTTTACGGACACATCTTTTTCCCCCTCTTTTTTGTGTTTTCCGGGCTAAATATTATGATGTTATCATTGTTAATATGTGGACCTTTGTCAGTGTACCAGAGTGACGAGGACTCTCAGGATGTCATGATCAAGTCTGAAAGTCATGATGATGCGTCAAGTTCAGTGAGAACTATAACTTTAGAATTCAAGTTCATGGATGCTTATTGTGAAACATTGAATGATAATGATTCTACATGATCCTACATGTTGGTTTCTTCTACACATGACATGGATAAGTTTCCTTTTGAAGGCCAGGCAAAGTACCGCTAGAGATCACCAATTGCTAGAGATCGCCTTAACAATAATACAAAGAGCCATTTGCTCTCGGATTTAAATCCCAGGTATTTTGACCAGAACTGGTGACCTGCTAATCCACTGGGTGAAAACAATGCCACAAAGTAGCTTTCACAAAAAAGAAAACAGGGCGTACAGTACATATGGGTTCTTGGGGGAAGACCTTTGTTTAGTTTTGTTCTCCTTTGTTCCTATCTCAAAGTCCATAGCGTTTCCCTAATGGGGCAGATAGATTGCAGACTTCCTCGTGAGGTCTATTGTTCTATTGTTTTAACTGCCCCATAAGGAACCATGTGCATGGACTTTAACACACACACGACACACACATAAATGCCGGCAATCGTGGACGCCCCATTGTCCCTAATACTCTTTCCTTTGTTTGTACTCTAACTTTTTAGCGACAGCTCTCATTGGTTTTGTACACGATTTGAGATCGTGGACGTTCGGTCAATCGTGGACGTATTGTTTCCGCCCCAATTCTTTTGTCCTACGTCCACGCTTGCCGGTGTTTATACTCACACACACACACTTGAAGTGAAAATGGCGGTGATTTTTGTTTTCACCCACCGTTAGGTAGTCGTTTAAGGTCAGTGACCGGCAGTGATATCACCCCAGATCTGAGAATATCATGAAAAGATGAAAATCATATAATTGTCACCTCTCTAATCACCTTCCGTCCATTGTAATTGGTACTCAATGTACATGTAGATTCCTAAAATATGAGCAAACTTGGAAGGAAGTGTTCTTTGACTAGTGTTACATAATCGCTCATTTCTTTGCAACTACTGAACCAAATCAAATGCACTTTTCACCAAAATGTAGCAAAATAATTGCACTCTCTGTTCCCATTTGATTTTTTCAATTCTGATACTTTTTTTTGAAGTTGCGATCAAAGTTAGTGTGTCATTTGTTTTGGGACACCCTGTACAACACAGTTTCCAAAAATCTATAGTTTGCTAATAAATCCCCACAAAATGTGAACAAAATTACATATTGGGTGTGTGCTGTATGCTGTAAGCCAATCACTCATTAAAGACAAACAGATTGAGTTTGCCTAATAAAGACTTTGTCACTGAGGTGAGTACATGTACTCCAACAGAAATGAAAAGCACCAGCAATAGTCCCATATCACCATTATTCCTTTCACCTGCTGTGCTAATCCGTAAGCAGCAGGGCAGCACCAAATATGGGATTGTTTGTGGCAGCTTTTTCATTCGGTATTGTTGACAGAATTTGCATCAAGGTCTGTGAGAGTCAGTGGGATACAAACCCAATAAATGGGGTAGTGACGTTGCAACGAGGAATGCTGAACTTGAATAGATTCTAGCATTCTGGCCCGCTGTAGTGTAGGTAAACCTTTGTCAAGTACGATGTGACCATTATTCAATCAACAATACATGTAGGTTTTGCCCTTTAATGTATAGCGTGGTGCATATTGCATGTGTGTTATAACACAGTATTGAACAAGTCCCTTTAATTGCCTGGCGCTTTAGTCATGCAAACAATTTTATGTATTCGCAACACAAAAAGTAGTGCCCGCCTTTGCCATGTTCGGGAAACATGTGTGCTAATTGGATGAGATGTTTTTGTTGATATAATTTATTATTGATCCCTTTAGAACATTGTAAGGGGTAAATTGTAGCCTACTTTTCATTTTAACTATAACTATTTCATTGAGGAGTGATAATTTTACTCAGTGGGAGTGTTACATTCGCTCTCTCACTGTTTCCGTAGTTGACGTGTATCGGGGTTAACAATAGCTGAGGGTTACTGGCACTTTATTCCAGAGATTCACCTTTTCCGAAGAATTATCTGCATCTAATCTGGATGTTAAAAGTAAGTGTATTGTGTATACTTTTGGATAAAGGGCTTTAGGCCAAATGATTCAAGCATTTGGGGCATGCAAATGTGTGTGTTTTTCTGGCTGTACATTAATTATGTGAACACGAATTGTGCATGTCGTGCATACTCTATGTAGGGTGGGGCAATTCCGTGGAAATGTCATCCTGAGGGTCATAAATTGTTTTTCATAATGGTCATATTGGCTACCATGTTGAAGCTGATAAGGCCAAACAAAAAAATGGTGTGTTTATGGTAACCCGACTGACCTGGAATTTTGAAGGTTGATATTGATTATTTCAAAAATGTCAAGTACTTTTAATTATTTGCCACAACCATAGACCATTTTCCATACTTGAAACTGACCATGATTTGACACAAACATACCTGTGTTAAACGTGCGCAAATTGCGACGATCTCAAAACTTGAATTCTCAAACTACATGAAGTACGATTATTTTTGCACAAACGCATCGGGGTGAACTGGTGCGCCTGGCCGACGGACGGCATGGTTCTCCCCACGTACAAACTTGCGTACTGCGAATCGGCCCGACGATATGCACTATATAATTATTATTGACGCCATTAAAGTGCACAATATAATCGTTACATATGCCATTATTTCATCTTGACATGCAATATCTTGACAAAAATCCTGTTTTTCTGATGCATGTGTGATCAAAATGCACGTACGATGACGGGTTCTGTCGACCGCCAGCTGACAGGCATGCAGCACATACAGCATGGTGCACTGGTTCCCTTCGCGTCTAACGGAATCAATACTATAATGAAGGCCCGGAACCAGTGACTACTGCCTATACAAACGTCGTACAATGATGATGTTGTGACGTCGGCCGAAGTTGGATCGTAAAAATACCAAACAAACATCGATGGAGAAAGAGAATTTCTGCGAATTAATTCACAGAACGTGATCTTTATTTTCTGTGTATGTGTTTTCCATTAAAATGACAAGATTGCAAAGCTCGAACTCTTGGCGTAACATCATAGCGTGTTTCTGCAGTAGTGCAAGATTTTCGGCCACATGGGATGGGCCGTACACAGTGCAGTAATGCACACTGATACTGATACTGGGCCGTATACTGGAATGAAATGTATCGATGAGTATCTTGAATGCTTGAAAAATGTTTTTATACAAACACGCATGAGCCTGCAGAACTGAAATAAAAAAAAAATTACAAAATAAAATTATTTCCCCTACCTACCTTTACCATAAACACAGACCGTTACCGTAAACACACCATTTTTTTTGTTTGGCCTAAGGTACAGAATACAAAAAAAAAATACTCAATTTTACATCAAATACAAAATTGACATGAAAATGGCTTTAAAAAGCACTTATTGGTTAAAAAGTAAAATTTTAATAAATTGCAATTTTAGATATTTTTTGCCAATTAATTAAGTATATTTTGACAAATTTTCTTGAATTTTGTAATTTTTAAGCAAAAAGCCGCATTTTATTTCCTAATATTACAAAATTGAATTTGTATTGGATTTTACTCAAAACCCTTCCGCTTTTAAATTTTACCAAAACTATGTGTCAGTCTGTTACCGAAATATCTAAAAAAAAGTTTTTTTAGTCTTTTATATTTGTTAGATCTTTTTTGGATTCTCTGTTGTCATCCAGCTATGAACAAAATTGACAAAGAAAATTCATGTACCATTTTGTTATTTTTGAAATAAACCATGGTAACAGACTGACAGTAACAGACTGACACGTGTACAAGTCTATTGCTCTAGTTCGCTCGTACCCCCTGCCCTGCAAACAGGACGCTGGGATACTCTGATGAGCTTCACAGAATCTTGTGAAGGAAGTGGCCTGTGACCTATGTATTTAAGCATCTGGCTGCAGCTGTTCAAGACCGCGATTAGACAATGTGCGCAAATGCTATCCGAAAACGTCCCATAGAATTGCGCACATTCCATACCGGAGGTGATTTCTGTTTCATTGCAGCCCATGTGACAAAATATTGAGTGCCGCATAATGCAATCCGACC